CTGGTGTGTAGATGATTTTTGAAAAAATGCAAGTGCCGTTTGCAAAAATTGATGAAGTTATATGAACAATTCATTGAAAAAAAAATAGGATATATACTGTGTCCATACGTCTAAACATTATCATACATAGTGAACGTGGTCTCCCAGACAAGGCTACTAGTACAGAGTCACACTAAGAAACGACCTATTTTTTTTTAAATAATATTCGGCAAAGTATAGGATTTTTTAAGTGGAGTGTAGGAACACAAATTATCAGTTTATTCAGCCGTATTCTGTTGATCAATGGTCAACATTCCCCCTGTTAAAAATGTTACAGACCGGATTGGGAAAGTCTTGGAGAATCACGACATGAAACCAATATTGTGGGCAACAAAAACGATCAGACAATTGAATTGGATACTTTTTTTACGTTGCACATTTTAGAATGTCTGTCAAATTCTTATAAAAATTGATACAATTGTCGTTTAAAATTTTTTGTTAATTGTAAGTATTTGTTTGAAATAGTCTGTTACGAAACTTGATGTGACAAACCAGATTCTACTTGGGCGAAGCTTGCGGGCAACAACAAGTAATAATATAAAACTAAACTCAAATACTAGCTTCGTAATAAATGCGTTGGTAACAACGAGAGCACCAATTCGGGTACTGCAACCGTTACTACATCGCCTTTGATAATGTCTCCCGCAGTGGTAGACGAAACGACAGGAATAAAAACCTGTAGATCACGGCCAAAAAACTCGAAGAATAGCTTTCACACAACCAATATCATAGTTAAACTTTGTAAAACACAACTGTCATAGCTCCATAGAATATTCAAACCACTTTAATAAAGAACTTTCGTGCTTCGCCCTGAATTTATAGACACTTATCTTCAACAAATCATCTGCCAAGAACCAAACATGATACAAACAAATAAATCCTTGAGAGATAACACCAAAGTTCAGTTTGGGCTAGAGCTTTGGCCTCTGTCAACCGATTCATGTAATCGGGGGAGATCAAGTTCACTTTTGCAATGAACCGTTTTGTGTTAAGCGAGCAGTAATTTAAAAATCACCGGCAATACACGTATCAATCGTGGTGACCATCAGTTTCAGGTACGCGACGAACCATGTCGGATATAAATTGATTTCTTGACGTTTTTGATTTCTTGACGTTCCGTTAGTGCTGTGATGGTTGTTTTGTGATTGTGGTATCAGCGCATTTTTGGAATTGTGGATAATGGTACTAACAATACGATGTGCTTCCTAAGTATGTTTCTATTCCAAAATTAATGGTCAATTTACAGTGCGGCTCTGAAATTAGTCAGTTTTTCACACGAACTTATCGATAAAACTTTATTTTATGACGAAAAATTTTGTTATTTAGCTTTAGCAACAACTAATAAAGAGTCCGTAGAACTAGTGCTTTTTTCAATTGCTGGTTGCTTGACTGGTATTGCTAATCCTTTTCTGCCAGTCTTCTTCGGTAATATCAGATACTTCTTCTTTAATTAGTACTATTACCTTCTTATCAAATTTTGGAAAATTATTTTTACGCCTGATGCTTTGTTTCAATTTTCATACTTTTTAGCAATACTCTCAAGGGAATACACTTTTTCAAATGTTTTTGTCTGTAAAACTTCGAGTAGTTGGTTTTTTGATATAGTAATCTTCAAATTACAAATTGTTATCCATTGAAAAACTTTGTATTTCATCTTTTCTCGAATTTTTATTCGGTACTTTGATGAGCTGTCACGAATGATAGGAAGCGTCGTCAAGAACTATTATACTATTCGCATCCATATTTGGGATCAATGTGTTTTCAAACCATTCCTCGAAAATATTGGCTTCCATGTTCTTATGATAGTCAACATTGTAGTCCTGCAGTTTTTTTCCACATAATTTCAAATAATTCAGAACCCATTCTTTATTCCCTCCGCAATGCACAATAATTAGTCGCGATCCTTTATTTGCAGGTATGTTAGGCGTACACATTCTCGAACCATCAGTCCACCCTTTCGTAACTGTATCGTGAGTGTCATACCAAGTTTCATCCAAATAGAAAATTTTCTGTTATTCTTGTCTATATTCAATTACTTGTTCTAAATGTTTTTTACGCTATTTCACTATTCTTCTGCTTTCGATAAGTGCTTGACGTTTGTTTATTATTTTAAATCTAAATCACAGCAGTTCACGTTATGGCCGAAAGTATTCAATTTCTCCCACATGATTTCAGTTGTAGGAATCTCATTGCTTTTGTAACAGTCGTACGTTGTTTTTTTTAACAATTTTATTAGATGAACATCTAAAGGATTTGGTAATCCTTCATTACATCGCGTCTTGCGTTCATAAGGTTTGTTTTTGATTATTTTACGTAGAGTTGAGAAAGGAATTTCGGTCAAATCTGATGTTGCTTGTACTAGTTTGTTTTCCTCGAAACCAAAATTGAGATGTCGATTCTTATATATTGAAACATACTCTCTGTGTTTCAATATTCAAATACATGTCATTCACTGGTATCTCTTTTTCGCATTGTTCACCATCGCTATTGGAATCACTACACTAGAAAAAGTCTGCGTTATTATCACACCCGTTATTACTATTAGTACTTGTCCAAGGACGCCACATTTTAAACAGATAACAAAAATTTAAGTAATTATAACTACATCAATATCGAATTTCAACACTCAAATTGCAATCAGTTCCTGAAATGAATATTGACGACACGACGGCTATAACCATCCTCGCATTCTATTCGTCACCGTAACATGACTTCAAATTAAATTTTATGACTCTTCAACCAATCATAAAACTCGGTTAGTAAAAATTATCCAATTATCCAATGATTTCGGACACCAATGAGAACATCTTCCATAAGTTGGGGAAGCTTGTGGTCCAAAAAATGTAGGTAAGCATCTACATTCAAACGTAAGGGGAGAAAATAGGGCCCAATTAAATAATCCCCAATTATGCCTACCCATACATTAAAAGAGAATCTGTCTTGTGAATGAGTTTGCGTTATCGCATGAGGGTTATCTTCCGCCCAGATGTGGTTCTTATGGAGGTTCATGATACCATTTCTTGAACAATTAGCCTCATATGTGAAGAGGATTTTCGATAAAATTTGCGGATGTTGTTCGACTTTTCTTTGCAGCCATTGAGCAAATTCGATACGTGGTTGGAAATCACGTAGCGTAAGTGCCTGGACACGCTGAATATGATAAGGATATAATTGCTGTTCCTTTACAATTATGTTATTTGTCATGTGACTCACATTTAAAGTTTGACTAATTTTTCTTGTACTTGTCTCTGGATGTTTCTTCGAGAATCGCCTCCTTCAATTCTACAGTTCTTGTAGTCCGTGGCTGTCCTACTGCAGAATTTGTTTCAAAAAGTCGCCGGAAAAGATTTGCAAATGTCGCTGCACAAGGAGTCACGCGTTGAGGATACCTTTCCTGATAGATGCGTCTGGCCTCGATTGAATTTTCGTCAGCATAGCCGTATGCAAAAACCATATCAGCCATTTCAGCATTCGTAAAGTCAGGCATGGTACCAAAAATCACTTTATAAACTCCGAACTGTGAATTTGTCAATTAATAGTTGAAAATGTGACAGCGAACTTCTATTTTTATAAATAAACTTTCATAGCCTACTCGATTTAATTAACTTAATTTGCAAGCGGAGAGCGACAAAAATTATTGAAATCAAATTTGGCTCTAAAGTAATATGCATCGATATAGAAAATTGTAAATATCTCGAAAACGATCATTTCCATCGTTGTTGAGGAGTTGTACCTCTTTTACTTGGAAAAGGTGTGGAAATTAGGTGTTTTCATGAAAAGTACCAAAAATTTACTGTCTAAAAAGTTAGGGCAATTTGAAATAAATCATGACAGCGTACACATCGTCTCATCGACAAAAAACCCTGGGGACCGAATTTCGTGCAAATAACTTATTTTTTGCAAGAGTTATTTTCAAAAAGCGAACAAAAAATTCAATTTCAATTCAATTTCGTATCTCCGAAACAAAGCATTTTCGGAGACAAGGTCATATAGACTTTTTTTCTTAAAATTGTCTCAGGAATACGTCACTTGAATATTTTTACGTACTTATTTTACACCCTGTATTGGATTGGTTTTTTACAATAAGTCGTTGATATACAATATAAAGAGGGTTGGAGACAATGTGGATCCCCGGGAACACCAGTGTTGATGATAAAAGTATTTTGAGAGACATCAATCGAAGGTTACATGCAGGAAACGTTTTTTCCAGAAGCTGAAGAACCATTCACGGGTTTCTCCATGATTTTTGATATAACTGATAGCAAAGCGACTGGTCTATGGTATGTAGTTTTTCCTTTGGAAAGAGGCTGAAAACGAGCAACATTCTAACATGAAGAAAAACCTCGTTTCTTGTAAGACAGGTTGAAATTAAAATCAGCGAAATTATTTGAGTTAGGTACTCCTAAACGTAGTAAGTTAGGACCACCTGAAATTAATGACAATTCAAAATACACACTATTTAGCTTAAACATATCGGTGCTTATATCTTCAAGTTTTTTAATTTTAAGGCTCTGTAACTGCATCTCATCTCAGATTCAATGTTGAGTGAAGTGCAAACATTGCATTAAATTCCTTTCGGTTTCATTATGGTGACGTTTTAGCAATGCGAGTAAAATTCACGTAATCGGTTAAAAAAATTTCAACAATGTCAGTTTACTGCACCTTCATTGTTGTCAGTTTTTTCAGTGAAATTCCAAAATTTGTAACGGCGTGGTTAGGAGTAATTTCGAAACATTTTTCTGGTAATTACATCAACGTATATGGATTGTCGAGCATTTCATTGTTATTAAGGCGTATCCAGATCGTCAAAACTTGATTCGTTTAATACAGGTTTTCAACTTGATCCAATCAATCACAGATATGTGTCGATATTCACAACAAAATGAGATTCCGAAATTAAGTCAACACTTATATTATTTAATATGAGTATTAGACACAATTAGTGACAATGATTGATCGGTAAGGATTGGAAATGCTTTGAAATTTACACATTCATAGTGGGATCTAAAAGAGTGGATATAGGACTAGAATGGATATTGTAAATTTTTTCAAGTGAAAAATTATCTGAGCAAGAACATTATAGGTTAGTTCTAAATTGTATTAAGGGGAAAATATAGCGCGTCATCACCGCCCAGCTCATAAAAATATGGCAATACTGTTTGATAATGATAGTTCTTACGTGCGATATGATAATATATGTTCATTCTTTAGTATCGCTGTCTGCTCAAAAAATGAGGCGAATTTCCATTTTTTACAAAAAATACTTATTTATTCAACAATTTTCATTTTGTTTCCTTCAAAGTACTAGTCCCCTCGAATATAATACACTTGTGCCAGTGTTTTTTTCAATCGTCGTCGCAGTTCTGATATGCACTTTTTGGTACGTCCACGAGCTCTCTCAGTGATTCGGTTTTCATCTTCTTAATCGTCGCAAAATGCTGTACTTTTTTGGGTCTTTTCAATCTTGGGAACAGGAAAAAGTTGCAAAGGGCCAAATCTGGTGAATAAGGTGGCTTAGGCATGGTTACAGTGTTGTTTTTGGACAAAAAATTACGAATAAGTGAGAGCAATGTCGTGTTGCGAAAGTCATGAATTGTTTTATCACAATACCGGACGTTTTCTTCGTATTGTTTCTCGCAAGTGGCGTATCACTTCAGTTGACTGCAACCTCACGAATTTAACTAATTTTCCTTTATTTTCAGTATTTTACTATTAAGGTATGTTATAAAAAGGTTTTGAAGCTCTATGACTTCTATTTGATTATCTGCGAGCGCTTCAGTTGACTGCAACCTCACGAATTTAACTAATACAATGTTAGTTTTCTTATTCATACAAACAGAAGACTTATTAATTTCAACCATTTCAAGAAAAAGGCGTTAAGAAATATTTTTTCTGTATGTAATACTTTGATATTAGAGTAATTTGGTTTATGTCCTGCTAATTTGATTATTTTTTTACAAAAAACAACTTATTGATCAATTATCGCATCTCTTTCGACAATTGTTTATGAATGAAAAACAGTTGTCGCTCTTCAACATTTTTTTTTAAATAGGTGGCTCTGCTAACTTGATATAAAGTTAGCAGGGTCACCCCTGTACAGGTCTCAATAATACTCAAATATCGCTATTAATATTCATCGAGCAATTGCCGTAACGTTCTTCGTGTGAGAAAACGATAAAGAATGTATTTTTCTGTACGTTATATTTTTA